GAGAGAGAGAGAGAGAGAGAGAGAGAGAGAGAGAGAGAGAGAGAGGTGTGTCAACAAAACTGAAAGCCCAAGGAATCCATGTACTAGCTAGTAGGCCCCTCGGGGAAATAAGCATACTAGCATGTTACCAGCATTTCACAGATGGGGACATCACAGAGAAGAGGTTAAGGACTTGGTCAACACCCCTGCTATTCCACAAGTCTGCCCCCAGTGCTTCCTCACTTTTCCTTTTGCCTAGTGGAAAACCCCCCAAAATAAAAACGCTTTAGGCCTCAAAGCTATTTGGAATATCAACTAGATGATCTTTTGGAGCCTATCCTGGACTCGCTCTGGAGACCAGGCTGGCCTCAAACTCACAGAGATCCGCCAGCCTCTGCCTCCCGAGTGCTGGGATTAAAGGCATGCACCACCAATAGATGATCTTTAAAAACCATTTTCCCCATAAAAGCATGAAAGAACTACTGATCATTACAGTTGCTGTCCATGAATCACAGGATTTCTGGGTTTTAGAAAGAAGTGCCAATTTACCATTTTGGGAAAAAGAAACAATGCCAGATATTGTACTTACTTTGTGGAAGTAAGAGCCTTAGAAAATTCAGGCACAGGGCAGGGACTAGAGCTAGCTGGACATGAACAAGGCACATTATAGCTTCAGGTACAGAGCTAAAAACAAGTAAAAAATTATAGAATCGAGTACTTCAGGAGACCTGGGCCATCTGGTGTAACTACTGTGTCCTCAGCAGATCCAAGGTGGTTGGATCCCTTTTGCTGCCAGGAATCCACACCTTAACAGCACAATTCGCCAGTCAGGGATGGCCAACTCTCAGAAGTCCTCCCTAAGCTTGAACTGAAACCTGATGGGGACCAGAAGAGACATGAGGAATTCCTTTCCAAATGTGAATTTCTGCTTTCGATGGCATCTTTGGAGCCTGTGAGCTGTGCCTCTGCTCAGACAGAGAGGTTTACCTGAAGTTGTAGCCAGGGGAAACGCTGCTTTTCTCAGAAACTCCATCCAGTCGAGTGAAGGAATATTTGGGGATACACTGGTCCCAGGCCTTGTCCAGATCACACACCCAGCCGATCTTAATGCCCAGAACTCCACCCTGAAGAAAGGGCCAGATATGAGCTCTCCCCTGTGCTCAGTCAGGCTGAGGAATTGTGATGAGTGATTTCTTTCCCTTCTCTACATGGGAGGTGGCAGCAGGGAGGGAACAAAGTCACTGGTAGGGAGGGGAGTGTCCTTAGGGGAGGAACCTGAACCCCAAAGTCCCTGAGCTACAACACAAGACAGAGGATGCAACCGCAGATCGCTTTCCTGTGGTGTGGTGCTTAAGAGACCAAAGGCCTCTTCTGAGGTGAGGTGGGATGATAGGAATGGGAAACTGAGGCTTGGGGAAGTAGAGGCAAGATTTTTGGGGGAGAGATGGATGGGATTGAGGAAGGAATGGATCCAGGGATCTGCAGGTCTGGGATGCTTCCACCAGGTGGCATTGTCTTGCTGTGGCTCCTGCCCAGCATCCCAGTGTCTATCCCTGAAGTCTATAGGAGGACTGAGCTTTCCAGGTAGGTGTGGGGGGTCATGGAGAAGAGACAGGTTCTCACCGTGCGGGCCAGCTTGGCAAAATCTTGCCCGGCAAACTTAACCACATCCCCTACCCTCAAGATGGGGCAAAATGGGGCCTTTTCAGGGTGGAAACGGCATGTCTTTATGTCCTTGGCTGTCAAGTTGGGCAGGAGGTTTCCCCTGGGGAGGAAAGAGGAGAGAGATGAGGCCCAGAATGAAAGTAAAGATAATTATGCCTAAGTTCTCTCCAGTCTTCTGGATGCTTCTGGCCCTCCACAGGTAGGCACATCTACTCAAACCATCTCTCAGTCCCTCCTCATCTACCACCCCTCTTTCCCTGTATGCTTTTATAACCCTCATTGTGTTGCATCTCATGACAGGGCTATGAACGTCTGTGGCCAGGGTCTCCAAACTACCAGGCTGGGCTCTGTGCATCTCCATGGTGCCTGGCAGGGTGCTCTGCACATGCCACTAGGTAGTTGTTGGGCAAACTAAGACAAGAAAAAAACAAAAAACAAAAACAAAACAAAACAACAACAACAAAACCTTCCACTCAAGGGCTGTAGGTAGAAAGAAATAAAAGTGACAAACACTTCAGACTCCAATTGCAGATGGCCTCAGTGTCCACAGCCAGGCTATGTTGTCTTTTCCCAGCTCCAAGCAGAACTCCTATTTGATTGGGTTCAGAGCTCCAAGGCAGGAAACTGACAGAGAAATTGGCTACATGACGTTTGGGATAGGAGCTCTGGACAGATGAGGAGATGGAGAGAACATGGGGACCTCTATGGCAGGCTAAATGAGGGAACAATGGAGGACTCACTTCTCAAAATTGAAGAGAGGGAAACGGATGCTGTTCTTGATGAAAATAGTGAAGTTCTCAGCTTCCATCATGACAGGCCTGTGGATGAGAACGGAGATTCAGCTCTCCAGAAGAGGGAAGACAGGGCTTTTCTCAGGAATATTTTTTGTGGGTGCCTGTTGAAAGGGGACATCTTATAGACCAAGGGCCTGTGGGAGCGAGGGTAAAAGGCAGAGGCAGGGCAGGGGAGATGACACCTTGAGGTAACATTCCCACCTCCAAGAAAAACCATGAGCTGGGGACACACAAAGCCCTCCATATGCTTGGGGATGCTCAGAGCCTTACATCTCCACGGTATCCACTTCGGTGGGGCACCAGCCCTGGATCTCACAGGTCCGGAGGACAGAGCTGTAGTTCACACAGCGGCCAGTGAGGATCCCTGGAGGGTGGAGCCGCATGACCGGGTGGCATCCTGCCCCTTGCCACTCCAATCCCCCTCCTCACCAGGGCCCCTGGCAGGTGAGCAAGTCAAGCAAATCCACTGCAGGTGTCCTGAACACCCCAGGACTCTTCTTCCTTGCCTCTTAGGCTGAGATATCCTTTCTGCCTAGAATGCCCTTCATGAAGCTCCCTCCATCTTGCTAAATCTTCCTCATCTTCAGGCCACCTCCATGAGGGCTTTGGAGCCACCTCTTAGGATCGTCCTTGTTCCCTCCCCTGAGACTGTCCTTTATATTTCCTTAATCCCACTTGCTATTCTGTCACTGCAATGCCTAGAGTGAACTCTTGGGGCAGGAACCATACACCTCCACAGCTCTGACTGCTTCTGACACCCAGCAAACCTCTTGTAACACTGGCAGAATTCCATACAATAGGCTGGCCCCCTTTCCTGAAATAGACTATCCCCGGGGAGAATTCACTGCCTTTTCGAGTCCCAGGAAGGCTTGGAGTTGGGGGTGGGGTGGAGAAAAGGGCTGCACTCACCCCCACCCGGGAAGCGCTCAGGCCCACACTGGCTGTCAGACACACAGCGGTACTTCTCCTCATTCTGTGGGGGGACAGGGTCACAGGTGTATGAAGGGCTTTCCCTTGGCCCTGGTCAACCCATTAGTTCCCATAGCCTCCCACAAGTTCCTGTGGCTACGGCTTCTGGTGGATGGCAGGTCCAGTCACAGCTCCAAGGCTGGACTATGGGCCTCTATTCATGCCACCTGCCCTGCTCCGGCCAATACGCTTCCGTGACCTGTTCCACTCACCTCTGGACAGAATCCTTGCATTTGATTTTCAGTAACGATCATCTTGGTGATAATGACAAAGACAGAGGTGCCCTTGGGAGGAGAAGGGAGAGGAAAAAGCCCATCCCAATCTGCAGGTCAGGAAGGGATTTCAGCTCTACAGAAGAGGAAGTCCCAGTCTGCCTATGATTTGGCCAAGGTGACAGGGCTAGCAAGGTGCACAGTTGGCATTCAAACCAATGTTTTCTAACCACCCTGGTGGCCCCTCTTGCTCCTTCTGTATTGCTCTCTACGAAAGCACAGGCATGACAGGGTCAGGGGTTGGGGAGTCCAGCTTCCTTATGTTCAGTTCTGCACTTTGGAGGGCAGGTTCTTGTTCCCCCAACAGTACTGCAGCTGCTGGCTCAGGATGCCTGCCCCTCTGTCTGTACTCTCCCCAGATGCAGGCATGCACATGTCCCTAGGGTAGGGGTCCATACCTGGGGTGGGGTCACATAATCTGACACATCCATGACTCTGTTGGCATAGCGTCCGAAGCCTTTCACCTTTGTTACTACTGAGGACTCAATGGCTGTGTCCCGCACTTGGTAGGCCTTCTCGTGCAAGAAAACCCACCTGCAGCAGAAGAGCAGGGAAACAGAGAAAGGGTCCACAGGCTCATGAGACAGGGGCTGGGAAAATTCTCCCTCCTGCCACCATTAGCGTCATATGGGTATGCTTGTTAGGGACATGTGTTGCAGGCAGAAACCAGGATGAGTCCTTGGTTAGTTCAGTGAGTCTTTGTAACCACCTCTGAGGAGCACTTTTGGGCTTCTTCTTCTAGTTATCTTCCTATGAAAACTTAATATTCCAGCATGTGTCATGTGGTGTATAGTTATGTGTACATGTTTGGAGGCCAGAAGTTGATATTGTTTTTTTAATTTCTGAAGCAGAGTCTCACTGTGTAGCCCTGGTTTGACTAGAACTCATTCTGTAGACTAGGCTGGCCTTGAACTCACAGAGATGCATCTGTCTCTGCCAGGATTAAAGGTGTGTGCCACCATGACAACAGAAGTTGATACTGAGATAGACATTCCAGCATCACCTCTATTACTGTCCACCTTATCTTTTTTGAAACAAGGTCTCACTGAACCTGGTACTCAGTGGCTGGCTAGACTGGCTGGCCAGTGAGCCCTCTATCTAGCCATCTACACCTACCAGCACTGGGTAACCAGTATACACTGCCATGCCTCACATTGTTTATTAAAAGATTACACCAGGGACTCTAGAATATTAGGAAAGTGCTCTATCAATGTTGAGCTATAGTCCCAGCCTACTTGTGATTTATACATACAAAAATTGAGGTTTTGATTTTTTGTTTTGTTTTTTTTTTCTCCTAAGAAGGAATTTCCACCCCTTTGTGGGCCAAAAGTAACTATTGCTGATAACAAGGTCCCCCCTCTAGCAGGCCCCACGGAGAAGGAAGAGAAGGTTCCAGGCTGCAGACACTGTATGTCCCAAGTTTTATTCATGTTTGTGCCCTGTGTGCCAGGAAGACAGCAGACATTTAAGAAAGAAACTGATGAAAGGTCCTTGGAGCAGGCTACTTGGCAGTCTTCATCCCGTCAAGAGTCAGCGGGAGGAAGTGGGTATGGGCAGTGGTTGTGCCTCTGTCTGGAAGGTGAATACTGTTGGGAAGGTGGGATGCTAATCTCATTCCTTGCATTGTGCTTCCACCTAGTGGTCATTACCTGTCTTCCCATAGTTTTAAACCATTATGTGAGCAAGTAGCTAAGTAAGGCAGGAATCCCTTTCTTCCATTCCCACCTGCTTTTACAGATCCTCCTAGACATCCCTGGCAGCAGGAAGAGCCTCAGACTGCCGACACTGCTCATCAGTAAAGGACTGCCTCCCGTGTAAAACAAGCCACCACAGCCCTCAGGGTTCAAGACACTCAGTCCCTGTCTGGTGGCACACTGGAAGGTCAATGCAGTTACTGTCATTATTCTGTAGGCGAGAAAATCTATCAAATACGTTTGGGGAAAGATGCACTCTCTATACAACAAACTAGTAATACGTTAAATTTTGTTAACCTTATCGTTATTATTACCACTACTATGGCTATTGTATAGCAGTGCTGAGGATGGAATGCAGGGCCTCACAAATGTTAGGCAAGCACTCCAGCACTGAGATAAACTTCCAAGCCCGCTCATCTTACTGGATCACAGAAGCCAGTTTGGGAGAGAGAACTCGTGACCATTGACAGAATCGAGCAGCATTCTTTGGAAAGGCTGGGATAATGTCATTTTCCGCCTCTACCAAAGGTTGGGAAACTGCATCAGAAGATGACAGAAGGAGTCTGGGACAGTTTAGCTCAGAAAATACTTTGCTGTGGGCACCCCTGGCAGGGCAGCTGCAGAGGCAGTACTTGGGTTGGGCAGGCATGAGGCCTTTAAGAGGAGGCAGTGAGTGTCCAGCACAGGAACTCCTGTCATTGAGTTGGCTGTGAACTGCTGCTTCAGAAAGTGATGGACACCACATGGCTGGGAAGACTGGGGAGCTTGCTCTTCAATGCTTTGTGTATGCCGAGGAGATATTTCTCTCGGGTGGAGGGTAGACTGTTTGACCTTTGAGGTCCCTACACTGTTAGAAGATTCAGAAGGAAGCAGCTTTCAAGCCACTAAGGGAGGTAGTGTCACTTGTAGGATAGACACAGTCTCGCTTACAGCAAGCACAGGCTGATCTTCGGGAGGCCTCTTCGTGGTTCAGTGCCACCCCCATAGAGGGGGTTTTACTTACTCAAGTTCTTTTTCCTTTACTTTTATAGCTTTCTCTCTCTCTCTCTCTCTCTCTCTCTCTCTCTCTCTCTCTCTTTCAATTATTTACATCTACTTAAGCTTATTTTTTAATCTGTGTATATAATTCCTCAGAAGCTAGCTACTTTTTAATTAATTCTGTGGGAGTTGGTATGTGTATGCCATGGTATACATGGAGAGGTCAGAGGGCAACTTGTGGGATCCAGTTTTCTTCTATTCTGTGGGTCTTGGGGATTGAACACAGGTTTCCAGGCTTGATGGAAGGTAGCTTTACACAAAGGCTCTCTTACTCCTCTATTGTCCGTCTGTCTGTCTGTCTATCTATCTATCTATCTATCTATCTATCTATCTATCTATCTATCTATTATCATTTATTTGTCTATCCATATATCATCTATCTGTGACAGGGTATCCTATCTATCTATCTATCTATCTATCTATCTATCTATCTATCTATCTATCTATGATCTATCTATTTGTAACAGGGTCTCCTATCTATCTATCTATCATCTATCTATTTGTAACAGGGTCTCCTATCTATCTATCTATCTATCTATCTATCTATCTATCTATCTATCTGAGATGAGATCTCTCACTTTCGCCTGACATTCGACAACTAAGCTAGATTGGCCAACAAATCCCAGTCTGTGTTTCTCCAGCACTGGAATTAGAAGCATGTGCCACAATGCCAGCTCTCTTTCACACAAGTTGTGGCGATTGAACTTAAGTCCTTGTGCTTGCAAGGCAAGCACTTTACCCATTCAGCCATCTCCCCAACCACTGTTTTAACTTTTAATTGGCAAGAAATCATTGTCTGTATCTATGGGGCACAATGTGAATGTTTTGGTGCATGTATACATTATAGACTGAGTCTATTAAATGAATTAGCATAACCATCTCTTATATTTATCTGCTTCTTTTTGTAGCATCATCCACTTGGACTCTGAATGCTTTCTTGTATGAGAGAAAGAGGGTGGAGTTGCAGCTCTGCCAAATGGCTCTGAACCTGTTACCTGCTTTACTGTGGCTGTCTTGTAGCAGCCAGCAAGTTGATTAATGCACCATTAAGCATTATCCACATGCTTGTAAAATGGTCTTCTGAGCACCACGCCTTTACAGAAGTCTGCAGTGCTCCTTGCTTTACCACTCTTGCAATAGTTTCCTCTTTTCTTTTTGTTTTTTCTTCTTTTTTATTTTTGAAGGGGAGGAATTTCATTAAGGTCTCATTCACCATGTTATGGTCCAATAGAGATGAAGGCAGCATCTTGTTACAGAACCCAAGGAAGTGATCCGAAAGAGCACCATTAGCTCATGGCCTTATGCCCTCTGGGATGATGTGGAATGAGGTCTGGGGGCCTGACTCCAGTTTAGCTAAGATGGTGGCTGCTACTGAATACTCATCAGCGAGTAAGCCACAGTCCAAACAGACTTCTGGACCTCCAGGGTGCCTTGTCACAGGACTGTCGTGCTTCTCGGTGTTGAGCTAAGGAAATGGTTCTTTGAGACCAGTACCCTGTCCTTAAAGTCAAGGCACATTTGTAGATGCAAAGAGCATTCAGAGTGTCTTCTCATACACCAAGACTATGACGCTATGTTGACCCAGTCCATAAAGCCTTCGTGAGACAGCTGTATCATGACCATTGTGCCACAATCAGGGAAACAGATACAAAAGGGTGTGCTGACTTGCCCAGAGTAATGTAGCTAGGAGGTAGGCTCCACACAGCAGTCTGCTCTGGACCACTCCCAGCCACACCACTGTAGGGTCTCTAGCTATATCTCAGGTCAGACCCCAGCTTCACTGATAGAAAAGCATCCCCTAACTCAGGAAGGTCTCAGGGGGAAGGGGCTTGGGATAGAGAAACAATTAACCAGTCTGCCTCTTCCTTCTCCTCTTTCTTTAAGACTCCTGTATGCCTAGTAGGGAGGAGAGGCCACTTTAGAATTCTCTCTGAGTTAACAAATGGAAGAATTTCAGTGGCCCCATGGGGCTGAGAGCATCATCAGGGTAGCTAGCAATGGGAGGTGAGGGGTTGCTTCATTTCCAGAACAGAGGGGCTGAGGCTGTCTCTAGAGGCCAGGGCTTAGGAGATGCAGCAGGACTAAGCCTCTGATTCTTGGCATTTACTCTGCTGCTCTGACTTCTTTTTTTTTTCCCTTGCATTTCTGGTTTATTATTTATAGAGCGGAAGGCGGTGGCAGCTCCTTGGCAGGTGGGATGTGCAGGAAAGAGGCCCAAGCAGCATCCCAACACCCTCCCGTCTACCCCCAGGAGTAAAGGAGGAGGAGGCTAGGGAGTGAGCATGAAATGTGTGCAGCTGTGTGTCAGAGGAGAGGGGTCTTTTTAGGAAGGTATGAGCTGGGCAGAGGGAAAGAGCGAGGCACAACAGGGAGTCTAGGAACAACAATAGTTACCACATATAACTTAATATTACTGAGTCACTATCCTGGGAGAGGCACTTAGCTTGTGTCATCTCTTGTCCCAGAACACCCTGACAGGAGACACTCTTACACCCATTTCCTAGACTGAGACTAACAGGTCTGTGTCAGGATGGTGTCAAAGCAGGGATGTCACACTATGTAGTTCCTTCATCCTGAGGCTGTGGTGCAGGCAAGAGTGGGTGTACCTAGGCGATGAGGGATTCCAACTAATCCTCCCAGCATGTCACTGAGTGTGCTGACAAAGAACTGTGGGTGCTACCTGGGGATCAAAAGCATGGTATCCCCAGTTTTTTTGGTATACCTAGAGTGGGTGAAGGAATCTCTCGAAGTGGTATCAACCACAGCAGGTAGCTGAGGCTGGAGACTGGATGATTTGGTAGTGTGTTGCTGTGAGTGTATAAGATGAAGACTTGGTTCACATTACACACTTCCTAGGTGAAGTTGTGTGTCCTGTTTTGTAGTCATGGAAATCATACACTGTCTCCCTGGCAGAAAATAAGAGGGCAAAGATTCAGGTACCACGTAAGTGCCAACACCACAGCATTCCATTAATATCCTTTCAAGGGACAGAGGCAGGTTGGTTCAATGGGTAAAGGTACTTGTTGTCAAGCCTGAGGACCTGAGTTCTATCTTTGGAGCTTACTGGCGGAAGGAGAGAGCTGATGCCCCACCCCCAACTCCATTGTTCTCTTACCTCTACACATACCCATGCTCCACTAACCCACAAAACGAGCAACATAAAATGAAAAAAAAAATTAAAACCCTTTCTCTTGAGTCTAGGTAGTGTTATCTCTCTCCTCTAGGCTTCCCCACATCCATTCTATTCCCTTTAATCCTTGGGTACATAAGGCAGCTCAGATCTCATTACAGGACTCTTCCTCAGTCTCAGCCACACAGACAGGTTGAGCAGTGTCAGTAACTTCCGGCTTATCCTTTACTTTCCCGTGAAAACAAAGGCTGTTGTGGGACCCCAGGTCTGACCTCTGCTTCCAGAGATCTTTCCACACTCTAGCCTCTACTCCCATAAACTTCTTTTCTTCCTCCCCAAGATCAGGCTCTTTCCCTCCACAGAGGTGGGTTCTCTGCCTTGGGACTTCATCTTTCCTTTTTCTCATCTGGTTGCTTCCACCCATCCTTCAGAACCTGGTTTGGATATGGCATTTCCAGAAAACTCCCTTTGGTTTCCAGATGGAGTCAAGGGCCTCTACAGTGGCAGCTTTTGGTGCTGTGCATATTTTAGACACTGTTAAAACTTAGCATTTGTTTGTGGGGATCATTGGGTTAATATCCACTTCCTGCCACATTCTCTGGTGTGATGTTCACAGGATAAAGACCCTGTCTGCTCTGTTCCACTGCTCTACCCTCAGTGCACAATGCCTGGCATGAAGAGATGCTTGATGCACTTTTGCTAAATTAATCACAATGGACTCATGAAGTCACATGATGTTTGGGCTCCTATAAACAGCCTGGGCCAGGGGGCTGGGCTGCTGAGTATGCTGATGTAACTGTAAGGCACTGTTCCACGGGGATCTGTCAGGCTGGTAGATGGATGGGGTTGCATATCAAGATGCCAAAGAGCCTCTCTCCTGCTCCCTTGAGCAGGCTGGACTCAAGCCCCCAGCACTAGAGGATTCAATCTGATTCTTATGAGGGGTGGCCAAGGGCAGTGTAGGGCTAAGGGGTCTAGTCCAAGAGACGGCTGTCTCTATCTTCCATCAATATCCTGCCTGGAGCCAGGAAAGCCGGGCCAGGTTAAGAATGTGCTGAAACAGCTTTTGTACTCGTTGGACCAATATACCATCCTGTGAGGATCAGCAATTAAGGCACTGAATATATGTGTGAACACAGAAGACTTAAGAACTAACTCTGAGGCTGAGGATGTAGCTCAATGGGTGGAGTGCCAACCTAACATGCACAAAGCCTTGGGTTCAACATGCCAGCACCATATAAACTGGATGTGGTGGCCCACACCTGTAATTCCAGCACTAGGAGGATTAAGAATTCAAGGTCATCTTCACCTACATAGTAAGTTCAAGGACAGTCTGGGATACATAAGACTGTCTGAAAAAAACAAAACCCAGCAAACTAGCCAATCAAAAAGGAACCAATTTTGAGCCAAACTTTGGAGACAGGGATATGGAACATTCTAAACATCTCTCACAAAACAGCACAGGAAAGTAGTTTCAAGGCCATTCAATTCTACTCCATAGCTTGAATTCCTTCCGATGTCCTCACGAGGCTATAAAGCCTTGTTATACACTGGAATACCAAAGTCTACCGGCTTTCATCAAACCCATGAAACAAAAATCACTTAAAAAAAAACCAAACCACATCTGCCCATCTCTCCACACATCAACCTCTCCACATTACTGCAACCTTTCAGCTCCAGCCCACAGGCACACAGGATGCATTCTTTGATTTTCCTGAATTAACTCATGACCTAGTCAGTGGCTTGCTGTCTTTCATAAACAGACTCATTGTCTCAAGGAACAGCAAGCGACCACAGACCCGAAAGCCAGAAAAGAAAACCCTTGAGGTTTCTGCCTGCATTTCCTGGTGCCAACCAGTGTATAGAAAATGACCACAAGAAGGACAGACCTGTGTTTTCCTCCTAGCTATTGTTTATTGGAGTCCCTTTGTGTGTGTGTGTGTGTGTGTGTGTTTGGATCTTGCTGGCCCTTGAGCAATCCCTAGCATGAGTCTTATGGCACAGAGACAGGTAGAGGGACAGATTTATGCCTTTTAACAATGGGTATCATTTCTACATTCTTGGGGGAAGAGTCCCACACTAAATCAGAGAAGGTACTTTTCTCTTTGACAACTCTTTCCTTGAATGTATCTATGCCTATGCCTCTCTCTATCTTGAGGGTCACTTCCCTCCTTTGTCCTACTCTCCAAGAACAAGGTTGTCTTGGTTTTTTAACCTCTCACTATCTAGCCCATGGCAGGAAGGAATTCCTTACTCTAAATGAAACCCAATGTTCTCCTTTCCTCCCCAGCCAGTTCTTCTTCCACATAACACCAACCCATCTCCCTGGTTTCAGTGCCTCCTTCCTGGGCTCCTGTATCTCAGACTCCAAAGACTCGGTTGAGGGGAATGGAAAAATGTGAGGGAGGGGTCTGTCTTTTTTTGGGGGGTGGGGGAAGGACCATATGGGTCCTTTCCTGTGCAGGGAATGCACCTATTATTGGAACATGTGTCTAAATCATTTTCCAGCCCTGGAAGAGTTACTGGGTAAAAAAATCCACCTGAGGACGGGACTGGATGGGAGTGGCAGAGGCCAATGCCGAGGACATGGCTCTCACAGATCAAAGTGTTTCTCAGAGGAGAAGCTCTAGAAGCTGCAGAGCAGTCTTGGGAGAGAGAGGGAAGGACATCAGGTGGCCCTCCCGTCCTGGGACTGTAGGACCATGGACTCACCCCACAAAGTAGGAGATGATCAGCAGCTGGACGGCTCGGTTGATGATCCCAATGGTCCAGCTCTTCACAACCACCGACTTGGTAGTCTCGTAGGTGAAGAAGTCTGATATGCAGTTCATACTGAGGATGTACTCCCAGCCACTCAGAAGGGCTATAGATGGCAGCCCAAGGAGATGACCTCAGGACAGGGAGAAAGAGATCAAGGTTTGAACTGGCCACTTAGTGGGACTTGAGGAATAGAGCCAGATCCTGTAAGCCAGGCAACTGTAGTCAGTGCTCAGTCTCTCTCCTCTTGACACTCTTGCTGCCAACAGTCTAGGGCCAGGGCGGCGGACCACCTTTTTATTCGTCTTCACTCCACTCCCCTGTGATGTCACAGCAGGGGTGGGGTCTCCAATCTCGGGCTCCAGATTGCCTGGGATGCAGCTGGCTAGGGCCCTCTGGGACTCATGCTTTATCTGCACTCTGTCTACTGTTTCTATTCTGCTCTCTTATGCCGTGTCTCTACCACAGCTCATCAGCTGCTTTGTATTCTCCAAAGCCCCTTGCAAGGGCCCATTCCTGAGTTAGCTGATCCGTGTGAGCCAAGAACTCCACTTCTGTGTCTGTTGATTTCTACCTAACAGCATGAGAAAGGGTTCTTGGGTTTCCTGGGAGGAAGGGTCACGTATTTCCTACCATCCCCTCTTCTCTGTCCTCCAGAATCTCATTGTGTCCCTAGCTGATCTCAAACTTGCTATGTCGTTACGTTTCAAACTCACAGTCCTCCTGCCTCAATTTCCTGGAGTGGTGTATACCACTGCAAAGTGGAAATTCACTTACTTCTAACTGCAGTTGGCAGCAGTGGCTGAAACACTTCTTGCTGTATAGAAATTTCTGAATTTTCTTTTTTACCCCCAGGTTACTTGAATCTTTGGTTAGGGTATGTGCTCCTGAAAGGTTGGGACTGTTTTAACCATCTTCAATGGTTTCCTCAAATCCTAGAAATGTGATGCTTTAACAATAGGCTCTCATTACATGTCTTAAACCCAGTTTGACTCAGTTAAATAGTGCTAGAAACAGCAGTGCTTAACCCAGGGGTTAAAGCCACAAATTCTAGATGGCAAGACTGCATTTTGACTGTCTCACATCCCAGGACTGAGTTAGCAAATCAGTGCAGTGATTGTCAGGAAAACCGTGAGTTTAAATATTCTGTCTTTATGCAGGGCACATGCTAGCAATTACTCTAAAGGTTGGACCCTCATGGTTATGATAAAAGGCTGATGTTAAGGAATCTGAATTCCGGGCTCTAGCTTTGATGCCAATGTACTTACACCCTGGGCAAATCTTTTGTGTGTTTCAATTTTCTCATCTGTAAAATGAGGAAGGGCGAGATAAACTCAAGCATCTCTTTCAGACCCGGCTTCAGATTTTGCAAGATGTACCCTGGCGCTATGTGAGGGCATCCGGGTTCTGCCAACTCAGGCTGATGTGGTTTCAAGTAAGTCCTAGCTCAAAGGTAAATCTGACACCAGCACTTGGAAGTTAATGCGGCCATCTGCCAGGCTCTTCCTGAGAACCCACATATTAGGGATATGGATGGGATGATGTTGGGGGTGGAAGGTGAACTCATTTCAGAAAGGATCCGATCCACTTGCCAGGATACAGCTGGAAAGCAAGCACAGTCACCGACACCCGCATTCCGTTTGCGGCTAGTGGGGGCGTCATTTTGGCCATAGGTCTGCATTTTCTCTTTCCAAAAGACTCCTTCCCCGACTATTTTAACAGGAGAGAGGGACATGAATGATTCCAACATACAAACAAACCTGAAAGCCTGATAAAACTTCATAGTTTCTCTTCAGAATCTCCGCTTTTTAGAAGGGTTTGCAACTTTCTAAAGAGAGCTCCCATTTCCTAGTTAACAATTCAGCCGCGTGGGATTCCACAGCAAGACCGTCACTAGCCCAAGGTACCGACGCTCTAGGAGACCGTCCCGTTGGTCCGCCCGGCTGGTGTCTTTCTAGCCAGGTCTTCCTCTCTATGGTTTGTGCGCGACTTCCGGTGGCGGGACGCGGGACCGCGCACGCGGGAAAAGCTTCCCCGGCGTCCCCTCCCCCGCATCCCTACCTCCTCCCCCGCGTCCCCCTGCGCCCACCGCCCGTGCTGTGCCGTCGCGAGGTTGCAGCTCAAAGAGGTGGGTGGTCTCCCCCGCGGGACGCTCGAGATGGATCGTTCCGCGTTCAATTTCGCCGGCAGTGGGCGAATCCATATTAAAAGGAGGGGGAGAAACGTGGGTCCAGGGGGCCTCGGGGTGTGGGATCGCTGGGGTCGGGACACTACTCTCCGAGCGAGTTGAGGTGCGCTCTCTGAGCAGGTCCCGGGCTTGCGCCGATTGTTGCCGTGGACTGTCGATGGAACGTCCCGAGAGGGTGTCGGGTTGGGGTGTAAGCGCCACTACAGGCCTGGTTCTGCACCTAGGGTCCTGGGCCTTGGCCTCAGGAACGCTGCAGAGCCGGGTCTGTAAGGTCCTCAGGCGCTGGAGAACTTGAGACGATCCAGTCTAGGCACAGCTATCCATGGGTGAGCGGGGTAAGGTGGTGTCTTTACTTGTTTATCAATCTCCTTCCTGAATTCAGATTCCCACCCTGCTGAACATCTACACACCTCACCAGGAATTGGGGCCCAGCTCCCAGAAAAGGGTTCGTTTGCTCTGGTGCAGCCTAGGGCTCTGTGCTCAGGCCACCAAGACAGGTGAATATGGCAGAGACACTGGAGTTCAACGACATCTTCCAGGAGGTGAAAGGGTCCATGGTGAGAATGACTTGGTCTTTTAGTAAATGTAGAAATCGGGAAGAGTTCGTGTCCATTAAGAAAAGCTTAACCCTGACTGCAGTTTTGGAAATAGGGTATCTGCAAAAGCAGCAGCAGAGTCTCAAGAGTTGTGCTCTTCAGTTTGAAGAGATTGCACGTGTAGATCTATCCTAAACTCCTGTGTTAAAAACCAGGAAACTGGGGTTAACAAGGCTGCGGGTACCAGAGCCAAGCTTTCGGTCTTGATTTGAGGTCTCTTGTGTCTTTTGACTTGATCTCACTCTCACCACTTGAACTGTTGCTTTTCCATTGATAATCTGGCCATCCTGCATCAGCACCACACAGGTGAGGGGTAAAGTGGACCTGCTAACACTGTATCCTGTTCTGAATCTGGCTCTGTATTTTGGACAGAATGATGGGAGGCTACGATTGAGCCGCCAGGGTATCATCTTTAAGAACAGCAAGACCGGCAAAGTGGACAATATCCAGGCTGGGGAGTTGACAGAAGGCATCTGGCGCCGGGTAGCACTGGGCCATGGACTTAAACTGCTTACAAAAAATGGCCATGTCTACAAGTATGATGGCTTCCGAGAATCGGTGAGAGATCTTGTTGCCATGACTCTCTCCTTTTGTAACTGCCCTGTCTTGTTTATTTTTAATCTTCTACAGACAGTTGGTGTTCTGATAATCATGTCATTGCTGGTTTGGGCTCCTCAGAGCAGGGCAACTGGAGACTGTTAAACAAAACACTACTGTCTGTTTTCATTGCAAATGTTATCTTGTGAATTTCTTTGTGCCCGGACTCCAGGTTTTCTCACATCTTGTTTTAGATAGTGGTTTCCACTTGCTCCTTCTGTCCTGGTTCAGAATCTTAGCTCTGAGATTTTGTTTTTCCATTTTGAGCTGTTTGAGTTACTTGTTTTTAATATCCAGTTTCATCAAAAGAGCACCTATACAGAGTTTAAAAACTCAGCAAGGTGATTCATACATCTGGGATTGGAAGTTCCTTTACTCCTCTCCCAACCTGGGTTTTTTTTGGGGGGGGTATAAAAAGATATTTTTATTTTTTAAAAAATTATTTTGCTGTGCGGTGTTGGTGCATGCCTTTAATCCCAGCACTCCAGAGGCAGGCCAACCTGTCTAAGAGCGAATTCCAGGACAGCCAGGGCTAAACAGATTAGCCCTGTCTTGAAAAAAAAAAAAAACAAACAAAGCAAAAACAAAACATCAAACACGCCTTTAATCCCAGCACTTGGGAGGCAGAGGCAAGCGGATCTCTGTGAGTTTGAGGCCAGCCTGGTTTCCAGAGCGAGTGCCAGGATAGGCTCCAAAGCTACACAGAGAAACCCTGTCTGAAAAAACAAAAACAAAAACAAAACAAAACACCAAAACTAATTTTATGTATATGAGCTTTGCTAGCAAGTATGGCTGTGTATCATGTGTATGCCTAGTGCTCTCAAAGCTCAGAAGAAGAAATTGGAGTTACAGACAGTTGTGAGCCACCATCATGTGGGTGCTGGGGAGCGAACCCAATCTTTTGGGAGAACAAGTACTCTTAACCATGGAGCCATCATGTGGCTAGCAGCCAGACGGTGATGGCTCATATCTTTAATCCCAGCACTGGGAAGGCAGAGGCAGGCAGATCTCTGTGAGTTCAAGGCCTTCCTGGTAAACAGAGCAAGTTCCAAGACAGCTAAGGCTGTTACACAGAGAAACCCTGCCTCCAAAGACAAACAAAAAAGATTAAGGACATCTGTGAGAGCATGGCTGAGGGCATCTGGGTCCCAGAAACAGCCTCTAGTAACAAAGCAAAATTGTTTTTAAACAGTTCTTTCGAGACAGGGTTTCTCTGTGGCTTTGGAGGCTGTCCTCAACGAGCTCTTGTAGACCTGCCTGTCTCTGCCTCCCGAGTGCTGGGATTAAAGGTGTGCACCACCACTGCCTGGCTTTTTAAAGGTTTTGAATTGACATGCTCAGTTAACTATGGTTTCTGATAAAGGATACATTGCTGAACTTTTTTCTGATCTAGAGAACAGGACTTTTAAGTTGTGATAAGGTCTAGAGGATTTACTGGCATTGCACTTTCTCCTTACAATTTACAGGAGTTTGAAAAACTCTCTGATTTCTTCAAAACTCACTATCGCCTTGAGCTAATGGAGAAGGATCTGTGTGTGAAGGGCTGGAACTGGGGGACAGTGAAGTTTGGTGGTGAGTGAGGAAGATTGACATTTGGGGAGAAGGTGGGATGAAGGGCTTCAAATGGTACCTTGCTTAACTCTTTACTCTAATTTCTAATCCCAGTTTTTGTATTTAGCATGTATTTATTTAGCATGTATAGTGTATCAGGCATGGTGCCTGGTGGTGGTATAGTGTGAACAAGGTTCCTCTGGTCCTCTGTCCTCTGGGAACTTGGGGCAGGTGGGAATGCTTCTGCAGACTCAGGGAGGAGTTTGTGGCTTGAATAACCCTTTCCTCACAGGACAGCTGCTTTCTTTTGACATTGGTGATCAGCCAGTCCTTGAGATACCCCTAAGCAATGTGTCCCAGTGTACAACGGGCAAGAATGAGGTGACCCTGGAGTTCCACCAGAATGATGATGCTGAAGTGTCTCTCATGGAGGTGCGCTTCTATGTCCCTCCTACCCAAGAAGATGGTGTGGACCCTGTAGAGGTGAGCTTTCTGCTTGCTGGGCTCCTGGATACTGCTGAGTAGACTTTGGCTGGCTGGCCTAGGAGCCGAGAGGTTCACTGTGATTACCCGTGTGTGTTTGTAGGCCTTTGCCCAGAATGTTCTGTCAAAGGCAGACGTGATCCAGGCCACTGGAGATGCCATTTGCATCTTCCGGGAGCTGCAGTGTTTGACTCCTCGTGGTCGTTATGATATCCGGATCTACCCTACCTTTCTACACCTGCATGGCAAGACCTTTGACTACAAGATCCCCTATACTACAGTTCTCCGTCTCTTCCTGCTGCCCCACAAGGATCAGAGACAGATGTTCTTTGTGGTGAGCAAAACTCCTGGGGTGCTTCAGTAGGTAGAGGTTACTGATGCCTAGGATTCAGTATTGTTTAGTTATCTGGGTCTCAATAGCCTGTCTATTGTCCTTACTAGATCAGCCTGGATCCCCCCATCAAGCAGGGCCAAACCCGTTACCACTTCCTGATCCTCCTCTTCTCCAAGGATGAGGATATCTCCTTGACTCTCAACATGAATGAGTAAGTATCTTCCTGGACTTGTTTCTTGGCACTGTCCAGGCAGGGAGTAGGCCTGCCAGTGGACCTGTCTCGCTTTGTTTATAGGGAAGAAGTGGAGAAGCGATTTGAGGGGCGGCTTACCAAGAACATGTCTGGATCCCTCTATGAGATGGTCAGCCGGGTCATGAAAGCACTTGTAAACCGTAAAATCACAGTCCCAGGCAACTTCCAAGGGTAAGAATGTGGGTTAAAGTCCTGCTGCTGAGGTGGTGTGGGTGGGAAGTGTCCTGTTGTCTTAGTAATGAAACCTTTGCTGTGATGGGTACCCTCTAGTAGAAGCCTGGGTGCACTTCTTGTTGTAGTTGTCAGCACCTCTGTCAAAGCCACTTGGTGGGAATGACTTCTGAGGGCCTGGGCATTCGTGTTGCTACATGTGCCCTTTGGCTCTGCTGTGGTTGGTGCTGACCAGACTCTCTGCATCCTCCGTCAGGCACTCAGGGGCCCAGTGTATCACCTGCTCCTATAAGGCCAGCTCAGGACTCCTGTACCCACTGGAGCGGGGCTTCATCTATGTGCACAAGCCCCCTGTGCACATACGCTTTGATGAGATCTCTTTTGTCAACTTTGCCCGTGGCACCACAACCACTCGTTCCTTCGACTTTGAAATTGAGACCAAGCAGGGCACTCAGTATACCTTCAGCAGCATTGAGAGGTAAGAACTTCCTCTGGTTACCTCCTGGTTATCCTGATCTTGATCCCATCTCTACTGGGAAGCTCAGCCTGGCCTTGGGTCCTTTCTGAGTTCATGGTTGGACTTTTCTAGCTGAGTTGAATTTTCTTTCCAGTACTTAGACTCTGGAAATGTATCTGTCTTTTTTTCCCCTGTCCTTTGATAGGTTATTTTTTATATTATGAAAGCTGTGTGTATTGGTTTTAGCTTATTCTCCTCCATTCCCCCATGGTGGAAATATTATCTCTTTCTTTCCTG